GCCACATGCAGCCTTTGATGGATCTCTTCTCATCCCATCTTGGGGTGGCCACAGCTTCCTCCCAGGCTCTGCCAAAGGTGGGACGGTTGATTCTCGTTTTCTAGAATTGTCATAGTGGAAAAGACTTGACATCTTTTCATCCCTTTGAGAGCTGTGGAGGCTTTGTTGATGCTCCAAGATGTCATGCAGTTTTGCAAGTGTTTGATGTGAGTTCTTGAAAATAGAGTTTATTCGTTGGGAAGTGTATTCTACATATATATCTTAGTTCTACTTTGTCATTCATGTTCTTCAAGTGTCCTCTATCTTTGCTGATTTTATTTTTCTGCTTGTTCTCTCAGTTACTAAGACATGTATTAACATACCCCAATTGATGGTGGGTTTGTTTATTTCTGCCTGTAGTTCCATCAATTTTTGTTTCAAATGTTTTGAGCATCTGTTACTAGGTGCACATAAATTTATATTTTTAAACCCTCCTTGATGTATTGAAAACTTTATTACAATGTGTTCCTTTTTATGCCCCCAAAATCTATCTTATCAACTATCAACATAGTTCCACAGCTAAAAGAAAAAACAACTTTTGTAGGTGTTCACATTTCACATACATGTGTGTGTGTGTGTGTGTGTTTTTCCTTTACCTTTGCCAAAATGTTATAGATGTGTCTTTTATCAACAACATATAGTTGAGTCTTGATTTTTTAAATGCAGCTGTCTTCATATTTAACTGGAGAGATTAGTGCTTATGCATTTGGTGTAATGACTTGATGTCATGAGTGATCATTTGGGTTTAAATCTACTAAGTGTAGATTTGTCTCAATTTTCCCTTTTTTGTTTTCTCTTTCTCTCCCTGATTGCATTTTATGGGTTATATATTTTATTATTTACCACCATTAACTTGAAAGTTTTAGACTATTTGAAAATTCTTTTTATTTTTTTATTTTTTTAATTGCATTTTAGGTTTTGGGGTACATGTGCAGAACATGCAAGATAGTTGCCTAGGTACACACATGTCAGTGTGTTTTGCTGCCTTCCTCCCCTTCACCCACATTTGGCATTTCTCCCCATGCTATCCCTCCCCAGTTCCCCCCTCTGCTGTTCTTCCCCTATTCCCCCCAATAGACCCCAGTGTGTAGTGCTCCCTTCCATGTGTCCATGTGTTCTCATTGTTCATCACCTGCCTATGAGTGAGAACATGCCGTATTTCATTTTCTGTTCTTGTGTCAGTTTGCTGAGGATGATGTTCTCCTGATTCATCCATGTCCCTACAAAGGACACGAACTCGTCATTTTTGATTGCTGCATAATATTCCATGGTGTATATGTGCCACATTTTCCCAGTCCAGTCTATCATCGATGGGCATTTGGGTTGGTTCCAGGTCTTTGCTATGGTACACAGTGCTGCAGTGAACATTCGTGTGCATGTGTCCTTATAGTAGAACGATTTATAGTCCTTTGGATATATACCCAGAACATTCTTTTCATGGTTGCCCTGAATATTGCAAGAAGCATTCTTGACTTATTAAAGTTAAGTATTTTGTTATTTTACCCTTGTTCTGGACAATTAAGGGTTTAAAAACACGTAAGTTTCATTTGTCACCGTCCCTCTTGTATGGCATTGCTGTTGTGTATTTTAGTTCTCTCTCTATTTTAAGCCCAATGTGGCATTATTATTAGACACACACACAGAAACACAGACACACACTCACTCTCTTTGGTCCTTATTTATTTTTCATCTCTTACCTTTCACCTGGGATCGTTTTTGTTCTGCCTATAAAACTGTCTTTGGTATTTCCATTAGTGTGATCTATTGTGGATAAATTCTCATTTTTTTGTTTATATAAAAATTCTCTTTATTTAACCTTAACAGAATATTTTTATTGGATTTAACATCTGGTTGCCACTTATTTCCTTTTCAGCCCTTGATACCATTCATTGTGTTTTGGTTTTTATTGTTGCTGTTGAAAAGTAGCTACTATTTTAATAGTTGCTCTTTGAAGGTAATGTGTATTTTTCTCTAATTTAAAAAAATTCTCTTGGTCTATGGCTGTCAGCAGTTTTGCTCTGAGATAGCTCGGTTGGGATTTTCTTTTATTTATTTATTTGTTTGTTTTTTGATGGGGGCTATAACATGTCTTGCTTCTGTGCTTGAAGTCTTTCATCAGCTTCAAAAGTTTCTCAGCCATCATCTTTTCAGATTTTCTTTCTTATCTGCCTAGTTTCCCAGATCTTTCTGGGACTGTAATTACAAGGATGTGAAGCCTGTTCCTTATGTTCTTTTTATTTCATACTCATTCTTCCATGTTTTCCATCATGTGGTAGCTCTATTTTTTTTTATTCCAGATGCTTTATTTTGACTTTCTGTTTTGTTAATTTTCATTTCAGCATTGTCTAATCTGCTTCCAAATCCATCCACTTGATTTTCTTTTGGTAATTTGATTTTTCAGTATTAGAATTTCCATTTTTAAAAAAGGAATTTTCATTTATGTCCTGAAATTTCTGATTTTTCCTTTGTCTCCTTGAATATGATAAACATAGCTATTTAGAAGTATGTGTTGATGACGCCAATATCTGGAGTCCCTGTGTGTACTTCTACTGTCTGTTGTTTCTGCTGGTTTTGTTCCTACTGTCTGGACTCCTTGAAACTGTGCCTGGTGTTGTCTTTTAAAAGTTGTTTAGAGGAGTAAATGAAGGCTTAGAATAATACTGTCTTCTTTCAGAGGTGACTTACGTTTCACAATTGAGTTCTGAATGGCGTCACCTCAACCCCAGGTGTTGAGATGATAAGACGTCACTTCCGTTTCCTGAGAGGCTTTGTCTGTTCCAGTTCCTCGGCACTCCTCACGTTCAGCCCTTTGGCATCTCAACTGAAACCAGGGGCCTCAGCGGGGTCTTCCCTGTTGTCTGGCACCCCACGTGGCTGTGAAAGCGCTGCTGTCTTTTGGCCTCTGTTGGTCCTCGTGGGGTCAGCCAAGTGCCCCCAGGAGTAAAGCAGCCGCACATGGAAGGCCTGGCTCCCATTTTCTTGCCATTCTGGCCTGTAAAGTTTTCACTATCTTATTAGTTCTGTAACAATTTTTAAGAAGACATTTTTGCCCAGGTATTCTAATCGTGTTCAGTTGGAGAATTGGTCATAATTGCCTAGTCTGTCCTTACCAGAAGAGGAAATACTGACTTAACTCGTACCTTCATTTTGAACTATTTAAACTATTGCCACTGGCCAGAACTTCCAGCATTCCTGCTTCCCCATGTCCCGGGCTCCACATCCCCTAAGTTATAAGATCTGCTTGGACCAGCCCATCCATTCCCACTCAGGTGTCAGCAGGAAGAATGGAGGGATGAGGGGATGGTGGTGCACTGTCCCTTCCCCTCCTCTCAGCTCCCCACCTCAAGCCTACATCTTGGCTTATGGCAACAACATAGATGTCTACCAAGGACCAGATGGGGTCTCCCACAGTTTGCACACCGGGGACACAGGAGTTTCCTGGAGAGAAGGAGTCTCTGCCCTCATGGGACCTTGTGTTTTAGTGGGGAGATGGAAAGTAAACATTCATACAAACCAATACTGAGCTTCTGATCATCACATATGCTGCCATCACAACAGAATCAGGCAATGAGACTGGGTGGGAAGGAACTGCAAGGACAGGAGAGGCTTCTAAGCAGAATAAGGAGACAGGTGGGCAAAAGTCTAAGGGCAGAGCATGGTCGGTTAGAGCATAGCAGGGCAAGGCTCTTCCCCTGGAACAAACGCAGCACGCCGGAGGGGCTGAAGGAATGTGGACGTCTGGTGTTCGGACAGAGACGGGCACAGCGGTGGCAGGAGGCTGGGGCAGGAAGGCGTGAGAGCTGCCTGGACACTGTGCTGTGGGCATGTTATTCTCCCTGGATATGAAGCCTGTGGAATATTTCCAGGGGAAAATGAACCGGAGAGGGCCTGTGTGAAAGGAGAAAAACCAACCCTCTTTTTAGGGAAGCAACTTTCTGAGTCTGGTCTGCTGACCCCAGGGGTCCCCAGGATGTTTTTCAAGTGTCCGCGTACTCAAAAATAAATAATATCACTTTGGTATAATGCCTTATACTTCATTCCTGGGACATGGGGAAGCAGGATCCTGGAAGTTCTGGTCAGTGGCAATAGTTTAAATAGTTCAAAATAAGGTGTAATACCTTAGTGGTATTATTTAAGGTATTTTCCTTCTTTGTGGTACCATATTGGCCCTGATGTACAGTAGCGACGGTGGACAGCACTGTGGGTGCCCCAGAACAAATGGTGATGGTGACTCCACACTCCCACAGTGGACATTGTGTTCTGCACCTGCCGATATTCACAGGAAGATGGAAGCGTCAGTTTCACTCAGGAGCGCCGCTGATAGAAGCAATTACTTTTATTAACTGTTAATTTTATTTAGGCTCAACACTTGAGTGCATGCTGTTTTCATATTCCATGCTACCACATGGGAAGTGCCCACAGGGCTGGGGGAAAGGGAAGCTGGTGAGTCCCAGGGGAAGGGCTGGCTGGGACTGTGTCAACTGACCCCAGGGCTGGGGGTAAGGGAAGCTGGGTGAGTCCCAGGGGAAGGGCTTGGCTGCAACTGTGTTAAGTGCCCACAGGGCTGGGGGAAAGGGAAGCTGGTGAGTCCCAGGGGAAGGGCTGGCTGGGACTATCTCAAGTGCCCCCAGGGCTGTGGGTAAGGGATGCTGGGTGAGTCCCAGGGGAAGGGCTGGCTGGGACCTGTTAGGGCCCAGACTCTTGAGCTTCCCATGCAGCTGCCAGTGCTGCATGTGTGGGGGAAGGGGGAGAGAGAGAGAGAGAGAGAGAGAGAGAGTAAGAGAGAGAACGAGAAAGAGAGAGATTAGAAGGGGGAGGAGGATGGGAGGAGAGAGGGAGCTGAAGATGGGTGAGGGGTGGGCCATACCTAGTGGAGGACAGAACACAGAATGAACAGAATACAGGAAGTGATGGAATAAGATATGATGAATGGATTGCATTTTTTTTTCTTTTATTTTTAGAGATTGGGTTTCTATGTTACCCAGGCTGGTCTCAAACTCCTGGGCTCAAGCAGTCCTCCCACCAGAGCCTCCCAAAGTACTGGGATCACAGGCATGAGCCCCGCCCTCAATTGCAGATACTAACACAGAGGAGGGACATAGCGTCTGTCAGTTGGGGAGTCAAAGCAGTTCCCCACGGAGGTGAGTTTGCAGTTGAGGGCTGAGGTTTATCTCGGAATCTGCCCAGTGGAGTGGGGCGTAGATAAGGGAGGAATCAAACATCCCAGGTCAGGGGACAGCTAGTGCCCAGATGGGCCGGGGCAAGTCTGGCCTTCAGAGGTTGTGGGTGCTCCTGGCGGCCCCACCTTCCCCTCCCCCATCTCGAAGCATCATTCATCGGAAGCTTTAAATGGCAAAAATGTTCAAAAAGATCTTGAGTATTTTATTTAATTCAATTTTAAGAAATCCCATTGCACCATTGGGGTCCTTATATATCTGATGTAGAAAATGGGGCTCAAAGGCAACCCGGGATTTGTGGCAAGTGGACCTGGATCCATGAGACCCGGAACGCTCCCACAGCCGCCTCCTCCGGGCCAGCTGTCAGATGGCGGCAGTTTGATTGGAAACAGAACAGCCAGCACTTTCAGAAGTGCTAGCTGGTGGTTATTTTGGGGACATTGGGATGTAGCTGGGATTTAGGTGTCCAAAATATCTCCTAAGAGATGGAGCCTGGCCTGAAGCTCTGATCCTGGGATTTCAGCCTTGCAGAAGGCTCCCAGCATCCTCAGGCACGGCGGACCCCACGCCAAGGGCCCTCTCCAGGTGAAGGCTTCCAGCTCCCGGCCTGGAGCCTGTAGATTAAGGTGTTAATCATAGCACAGTCTGGTTGTACCTTTCAGCTCCTCCAAATAAGTGTGGTATGATTCTATTTTGCAGACAAAGTCCCTGGGAATCCAGCCAGTAGGTGAGGAGGGAGCATGGGAAAAAGGCTGACAGCACCACTTTTGTGTCTAGAATGTATCCCTGGAAGAGGGAAAAAGGATCTTTCAGCCCCAGGACCCTGCAGCTCCTGAAAGCTCTCGCCTCCTCGCCTGGCAGGGTCTGCACGCTGGAGGGAAGCAGCCCTCTTTGGAATCCAAGTCTCCACCCATGGCCTGGGAGGATGGAAATGGTGACTTAGTCTCTCTGAGCCTCATCGGGCGTGGGGAGGGTGAACTGGGAGGCTGCAAAGGCTGGTGCTCACCCATTTTCCACTGCCCTGGACAAGGACTCCACCACCCAAAGGCTCTTCCCAAGCAGATTCATAAACTACACACAGATAGAAACATTTCCAAAACCCTTGTCTGGCCCAACAACCTGTGGGTGTGATCTCACTTGATGCTTTTGACAGCTCGGCCTGGCAGACATGGTTGTTACCGGCACTCTGAAGACAAGCAAGCAGGGCATAGGGTGGGTGCTCTTGCCCAGGTGGGGGTCCAGAGCACAGTTCACACCCAGGGCTCGGGCTCATGACCCCCTAAAGGCAGGTGGCAAGTGTGCCGGGTGAACGTGGGCTGTCTTCTTCTCCTGTACCTGCTGGGACTCCCCTGCATGTGTGTGCAGCATGGGCCTGTTGCATTGGATTGGATAGGAGATTTTGAGGGGATCGCTAGGGCCAGGTGACATAGCAGGTGCTGAGAGATGTGGAGGGTCATCTGCATGCAAAGCTCTGCTCCTCAGCCATTTGTTTTAAGGCTACTGGGTGCAAAGGAGAAACGTCTTGCTAGGGAAGGGTGAATGTTGGTGCAGTCAGTAGAATAGTAGCCCCCAAAACATCCCCGTCCTGATCCCTATAACCTGTGAGCATGTGAGGTCACACAGCATTGCAGGGAGTTGCGGTTGCAGGTGGAATCGGGTCACTCATCAGTCGGCCCTGAGTGGGAGGTTCTCCTGGATTACCTGTGTGAGTCCAACGTCATCGCCAAGCATTCCCATAGGAGAGAGGGGTGAGAGAGACTAAACCTGCTGGGTGCTGGTTTTGAAAATGGAAGGGGGCCCCCAGGCAAGGAAGGCTGCAGCCTCTGGCAGCAAGAAAGCCACGTTGGAACCAATTCTCCCTGAAGCCTTCATAAGGTTGCAGCTCTGCATGCACCTTGATTTTGGCCCAGGAAGACCCCCTCAGACTTCCGACCTCCAGAGTGCTGGGATAATCGCTGTGAGTCTGTTACTGCAGCAGGTGGCGGGCGCCAGGAGCCGGGCTGCCATGTGGCGGGTGCGTGTACATGGCACTCTCAGCACTCAGCTTTGCTGGGAAGCTGCCCTATGCTGGTCCCAGCCCAGCAGGCTCCCGGTGAGTGCCCCAGCTGATCTTCCTACTTATTTGAGAGCATTAAACAACTGCCCACGGGGAGGAACTTTTTACCTACAGTGACTTTTAAGAGGACTGGGATGACCAGGGGCACCAGCTGACAAGAATGTTTAGAAACATTTTCTGATTTCCTTACATTCCCTCCGTAATCGAAACCAAGCCAACACACACACTCACATGCACCCTGCCTTAGTCCATTTTCACACTGCTCTAATGAGCTACCTGAGACTGGGTGGTTTAGGAAGGAATGAGGTTTAATTGACTCACAGTTCCGCATGGCTGGGAAGCCTCAGGAAATTCACAATCACGGTGGAAGGCATAGGGGAAGCATGGCACGTCTTTCATGGCAGCAAGAGAGAGAGTGTGAGGGGTGACTGCCAAACACTTTTAAACCATCAGATCTTGTGAGAATGCCCTTATTATCACGAGAGCAGCAAGGGGGAAGTCTGCCCGTCCCATCAAGCCCCTCCCCTGACACAGGGGATTACCATTTGAGATGAGATTTGGGTGGGACCACAGAGCGAAACCATCTCACACCCCAGACATACAACACAATACACATGCGGTATCCACACCTTAAGGACACGCTCATATGCACAGACACAGCCTGAGTGTGAGGCTGGTTGTGACCCAGAAGAGGCCTTTCCAAGGGCACTTAGGCTAGCACAGTGCATTGCACTATGTGGGCTGCCAGTCCTGGGAGTGAAGGTGCTGAGGTGGGCTGTGGACCACCATCCTCAAGCGCAGACTTCAGAGTAAGCTTCTGCTGGGGCAGGCCCACAGCCGCACTCCTCTGCATGGTCTTGACCTGGGTCCCTGCATGGGTGCCCTGCAGCAGCCATGGGGTCCCTCCCTGAGTGCTCTGGGCCAGTCACAGCTTCAGCAGCCAGTGTGTAGTGTCAGGTCCTCACTGCTGCTCCCAACCCTCTGCTCAGGCTGAGTGCCCGGGGGAGCTTCCGGGAGGTGGGTGGTGGCTTGTTGGGTGCAGTTACTCTGGGCTCCTGGCTCTGAGGATTCCATGTCATCAACCCTCTGGTTCTGTTTTCAGAGCCCAAAGATGTGCTGCAGAGCCAGAGACGTTGGGAGAGGCAGCATGGAGACCACCGGAGCCAGGTGGGGGATGGCAACTGAGCTGGAGGCAGTGCAGGCATCATTCAGGTGAATGAGGTGGGTTCTGGGAGCCTTGGCACTGGCTGGGCATGCAGGGTCCTGCGCATGTCTCCCCATGGGGTCCCTTCTGCTCTGGTGGTCCTCAGATTCCACCACCAGAAGGTTCTTCTTGCTCAGAAGTACTGGGTGCAGGAGGAGAGCAGTGCTCAGTGATGCCAGGTCAGCAATGGGGAGGATGGACAAGGCTGTGGCTGGGGTCTCCTGCTGGGTGTCGGCCCTCTGTGTTCTCTGTGTGTTCTCAGCCTTGGTGGCCAGGAGCAGAGGTGGTTTGGGGAAGGGACAAGGACAGACCCTAATCTGTCCACCTGGAGAAGGGACTCCCAGCACATCACTGAAAAGTGCTCTGGGGGCCTGGCGCAGTGGCTCATGCCTGTAATCCCAGCACTTTGGGAGGCCGATGTGGGCAGACGTGGGTGAAGAGATTGAGAGCATCCTGGCCAACATGGTGAAACCCCATCTCTACTAAAAATGCAAAAATTAGCCAGGCATGGTGGTTAATTTTGTATTTTGGCACTGGCTGTAATTACAATGTGCTTGTAATCCCAGCTACTTGGGAGGCTGAGGCAGGAGAATCACAAGAACCCGGGAGGTGGAGGTTGCAGTGAGCTAAGATCAGGTCATTGCACTCCAACCTAGGGGATAGAGCGATACTCCGTCTCAAAAAAAAAAAAAATGCGCTGGGGTTGAGAAACCTCTCAGTGTCTTCCCACCATGCTTAGGATGAAGGAAAACACCCTGTCACAGCCCTGAGACTCTACAGGGTGAAACTTCAACCCCATTCTGGCCTCCAACCCACCCCAGCCTGTGTGATCTGCCCTCAAGTAGCAGACTTCCCTGTGCCGGTCACAGTCCCTCCCACCATGGGGCCTTCGCACCTGCCGTGGCTGTGCAGAATAACCTGTCTGTCAACTCCTGCTGGGTCCACCCAAGCACCACTGCCCCAGGGGTGCCTGCTTCTCCCTAGCCCACTCGGCCCATCCCCATGTCCTTCCCAGCACCCCTGCCTCGGTCACGGCTGGACGTTGGTTAGCCCAGTGATCTGACTGGCATCCAGTTCCCCTGCTGGACTGTGCAGTTACCTGAGGACAGGGACCTGGCTTGCTCATTAGCTTGACTCTTGTATCTCTGGGCTGAGGGCAGGGACAGCGTATCACACCGCAGAGTGCCCCAGGGGTGCCGCCTACTCTCAGTGGTCCATGTGAAGTGACCCACATGTCTTCAGAACAACCCTGGGCAGGCGTTGTTACTACCTCCATTCTACAGAAGGGGAAACTGAGGCACAGTGAGGCCAGCCGGTATGTCTAAGGCCACACAGAGACGTGTCACGGCTGGACTTCAAAGTCTGGGTGAGCTGTGGCACTTTCCCATGCAGGAGCCTCCAGCCATGCATAGCTAGCAGAGATGAAATTAGTGAAGAGGAAATAAAATGCAGTTTCTCAGGTGCTGAGCCTCCTTTCCGGTGCTTGGTATTCATGTGTGGCTGTGTCTGCCATACTGGGTAGATCGCAGGAGGTTCTGCTGGGCGGCGTCACCTCTAGAGTTTGCATCTACGGCTGGATGTGGGCAGCCCCCAAGTATTTCCCGGCGGAACGGGGAAACGGGGCTCCCAAGCACCTCATCCCGCTGTCTTCTCACACCAGATAAGGGGCTCACCGGCCTCTCTGGAGCTCCTGGACTTGGGAGTGACCTCCTCACTTCAACATTCCCAGGCTTTCTTGCTCTCTATCGTGTAAACTGCTGCTTTCACAGTGCCTGTTTCTAGCCTTGTCTTACCTTCCATGTCACAGAGACAAACCTTTGTGTTTTCGTTGTGTACAGGGCTAGAGAGGCTGTGCAGACCACATTTGGGCTTTGACACTTCTCTCTCTCCCCCTCCTTCTCCCTCTCTCTCTCCCCCTTTCTCATCTTCCATCATCTTCTCTTTCCAGTGCTGTAAAGATGTGAACAGCACTTTTGGTTCACAGGCTGTGTCTGGTGGACGGGCCGTGGTTTGCCAGTCTCAGCTCTAGAGTCCCAGCTTTGATAAGTGCCTCGCTCCTCTCTGGACATCACTGGAGGTTTCCTCCACCTGTCCCACCTGTTCTGTCTGGAGAGCTCCTTCCTGATTTGAGCTGGATTCAGGTTCCTGTGCCTTCCCCAGGGCGTAGCTCCAGGAGGGATCTGGAGCTCAGGAAGCACTGCCTCTGAGCATTGCCTGGGCGTTCTCCCCTCCCTGCAATTCGGGGGCTTGGATGTTATTTTTTGTGTATGCAGGTGACGCGTCAGCCCACTCAGTCACTGTTGTCTTTATTGCCTGTGATTTTGGCTGAGAATGTTGTGTTTCAGAGTCAACAGCACATCGTCTCCGACAGTCAGGATCAATGTGACCCAAAGAACACTTCAGGGGTGGGGGTGAGGGCCGATGCCATCCTCACATCCCCCGTCCTGCGGAGGAACTCTGGGGACCTGTTTGCTCTGCTAAAACGGTTCATTTTCCGGCGGCCGAGTCTGCCTGCCTGGCTGGGCCCTCGTTGACGTGGCCCTGCTGTGTTATTGACTCTGTGTGTTCTGCTTCTTGGCCCCGTTTCCTCCCACCAAAGGGGCCATGATGCAGAAACACCTGCAAACAGCCGTGAGGCCTGTGCGCTTGGCGCTGAGAGATGCACCTGGAACACAGGCCGGTTCCGCACTCTGTGGAGAGTCCTCTCCTGTGTGTCTTCGGCTGTCATTTGCCAGCAGGTCTCAGTAATTGTCTGCCCCACAACCTCTGCCTGTGGCCACCACCCCTGCATCCAGGTCCTCCTCCTCCAGCTGACTTTGCTGCTACCCCCTCTGGGGTGAACTGAGAGAAGGTGCCCAGACCTGAGATGCCCCGCCTTGCAGGTGATGCTGGCCACCTGGATGAGTAGCAGGCAGGGCACCTGGTGAGATGTCAAGGCTGAAAGCATGGGCTGTGCAGGTGGATGGGAAGACAGGTGGATGGGAGGACAGATGATGGACAGATGGACAGGAGGACAGGTGGGCAGGAGGACAGCTAGACGGGAAGACAGAGGGGCAGATGGACAGGTGGACAGGAGGACAGGAGGACAGGTGGGCATATGGACAGGTGGACAGGAGGACAGGTGGACAGGTAGATGGGAAGACAGATGGACAGGTGGACAGGAGGACAGGAGGACAGGAGGACAGGTGGACAGATGGACAGGCAGACAGGAGGACAGGTAGACAGGTGGGAAGACAGATGGACAGGTGGACAGGAGGACAGGAGGACAGGTGGGCAGATGGACAGGTGGACAGGAGGACAGGTGGACAGATGGACAGGCAGACAGAAGGACAGGTGGACAGGTAGATGGGAAGACAGATGGACAGGTGGACAGGAGGACAGGCAGACAGGAGGACAGGTGGACAGGTAGACAGGTGGACAGGTAGATGGGAAGACAGATGGACAGGTAGACAGGAGGACAGGTGAACAGGTAGACGGGAAGACAGATGGACAGATGGACAGGAGGACAGGTAGAGAGATAGACAGGTGGACAGATAGAGGGGAAGACAGATGGACAGGTAGACAGGAGGACAGGTGAACAGGTAGACGGGAAGACAGATGGACAGATGGACAGGATGACAGGTAGAGAGGTGGATAGATGGACAGGCAGACAGGAGGACAGGTGGACAGGTAGACAGGTGGACAGATGAACAGATGGACAGGCAGACAGGAGGACAGGTGAACAGGTAGATGGGAAGACAGATGGACAGATGGACAGGTGGACAGGAGGACAGGTGAACAGGTAGACAGGTGGACAGATGGACAGTTGGACAGGCAGACAGGAGGACAGGTGAACAGGTAGACGGGAAGACAGATGGACAGATGGATAGGCAGGAGGACAGGTGGATAGGCAGACTAGGAAGACAGGTGGACAGATGGACAGGCAGTCAGGCAGGGCCAGGGTTGCGGCTCAGTTCTTGTCTCACTAACTGTGACCCTTGGCCAAGGCAAACCCTTCCAAGCCTCCTTTGTGAAATGAAGGTAATTATAGCACCAAAGACAGTCAATCCGTGGGATACAAGGCCTTCCTGCCCTCGCTTTCCCACCTGCTCTGTCTCGCTCTGCCACTGTGGATGCTGCCCAGCCTAGTCCAGTACACGCCAGGCATGGGCTGTGCTCCCTGTTGGGTACCGGGATGTTCTCCACAGCTGGGACACAGTCCCTGCCAGCATGGAGCTCACAGTCGCGTTCCGTGTGCCTGTGGAGGGACTGTCAGCCTCAGCCTGACTCCTCTAGAAAGTGGATCCTGAGGCAGAGCCCTGTGTGCTGTGTTTTGTGATAGGGTCTAGCCCCAGTGGGCAGGAGCGAGGGGCACTCAGGGAAGCAGGGAGGGAGAGAGAGCCAGAGAGATGTGCATGTGTGACCTCTCCAGCCTGTCCTGCTTCCACTGGGGGCCTGCCATGGAGAAGCCACCTAACCAAGACCCCGGCCAGACCCAGGGAAGGCAGTGGCGTGGTGAGGATAAGGGAATTCATCCCTTGGCTCATTTGCTCATTGGTTAAGCTCTGAGTGGGGTCTCTTGGCATCATCTGTTGGGAAGCTATTCATTCATTCATTCATTCATTCATTCATCCACCCACCGACCTACCTGTTCATCAGACATTCAGGGACACACTCTCTCTACCAGCCTAAATTCTGACCCAGGGGGTACAAGAAGAACTAGAGTGTATGCTGTCCTTACATCAGGGGCTCCCGCATGTCCCTGTCTGTACTAGCCACACCCCAGATGCTGGTGACATCTAACCCCTGTGGGCTGACCCAGCAGGTCCGGGACCAACGGAGGTTTTCACTTGGCTGAGGATAGTCAGGAGCTCGGGATGTGTCCTTGCTTGCTTTTGCCCATGGTTTGGACAGCGATGGTTTTGCATTTGAACCTGAGATTTGGTGACAGCAGTGAGTAGGTATCTCCTCCCTCCCCTTTGCCTGGGTGTGGCCATGACAGTCAGGGCTGGGTTTGGGTGGCTATTTGCCAGTTCTAGCTGGGCCTCTTTCACCTAACCCTATTTGTGAGGTCTCTGTAGGCCCCTAACTTGACCTGACCCATGGGTGGGTTTTAGTCCTGCCTTGATTCTCCAGACTCCACTCAGCCCCCTGTGCCCACTCTCAGCCTCCTGCCTCGTGTGAGACCCACCCCCTTTACTGCTCCATCCTTAAGCTTGACTAGAGCTGGGCTCTGTATGGGGCCTTGGGGCTTCCCGACCCCTCCCACACAGAGAAAAGGCATTATTTCCACTTGGTCCCTGCTTCAGAGCCTCACCACATGGAGCACAGGGCCTGGCCCTGCCATCATAGCCACCGGCGGTCAGTTCTTACCTCTGCCTCTTCCTACCTGAGTGGCTTTGGACAACTTAACGATCCCTCTGAGTTTGTTTCCTTGCTATTATAATTT